AATTATATATATGCATACATTTAATTGCTATTATTTTTATTACAATTTTGGTTGTTGCTATACATAATGTTCTTTTCATATTAAAAAAAATTGTTAAATACTTTTTCCTTTTTTTTTCCTTTTTTTCTTTTACCTATTTTTTCTTTTACCTATTTTAAACATCTGTGCCTTACCTTACATCACAACAACCTCTTTTTTCTTTCCATTTAGGTTACACTCACACTGCAGGTAAATGTGGCCCAAATCTGATTGTTTTTACCAACACACAGTAGAATTTGAATATCTACAAATAATATCAAAACCAACAAATAATAAATTTTACTAAAATTTAGAAACATTGCCTTAAATGCGCATTGACAGTAACCACATGTTCATTTTAATAACCTTACATCACAACAACCTCTTTTTTCTTTCCATTTAGGTTACACTCACACTGCAGGTAAATGTGGCCCAAACCTGATTGTTTTTACCAACACACAGTAGAATTTGAATATCTACAAATAATATCAAAACCAACAAATAATACATTTTACTATAATTTAGAAATAATGCCTTAAATGCACATTGACAGTAACCACATGTGTATGCTTAACTAAATACTCTTGAGCCACAAAATTAAAAAAATATATGTATTTTCTTTTGTTTATTTAATAAATCTAAGATTTTGTCACTTTCACCTCTCTGTCTAGTACTGATTTGCAAGATGTGCTTTGATTGGGTGAAAATAACCCATCTGTGATTGGCCGGTGATGTGGTTCATTTACATATAACTTGCGTTGCAAGTGTAGAGACAGAGCCGTGCGAACGTGTGTGATTTGAACACATGTGCTTCCAATTATTATTCGTTTATATTGATACSTGCTCTCAAATCAGTGTTACTGTGCTCTAGCTAGCTGCACAATAGTGATGCCAAAGAATTCTGCAAGTCTTCAGCTGCAGAACAGAAGTCTAGTTGCTTTATCTTTGTTCTTTTCATTTCCCATGGCCTGGATGACTGAAAATCTACAGCAACAGGTGATGCTAAGTTAGTCGGACCACATTGAAGCTAACGTGATGGGATTGATATCAAATTTATTTTACCTTCAGCTCTTCGCTTTGCTCCAAAAATAGAACGCGCCGGATAATCCACCAACACAGCAAAAACCAGAGTGTTAAAATTTCAGTGCATACACACACCCACGTCAAGTCTTTCTATCCTTGCGGGAACATTGCATTGATTTCCATTTTTTTCTCATTCATTTGTATATCCTTACCCCAACACTTACCCTAAACTCAAATTAAACCTTACCTAATACCAACCCAAAAAATGGTAGTTGAACTTTTTGGCCCCATAAGGAGCAGTGAGTCGCAACAAGGTTTGGTAATGGAAGTTAAGGGTTAACAAATGGTATTGCCAATATTTGATTCCTATCTTTTTCTGGGGGGGGGGGGTATGTGTGCTATCCATAAGTCTGTAAAATATTTGGCTCATTTAATTAATAAATAGAAAACTTAGATCATGAAAATGATAAATAAATGTCAACTGTTTATAAAGTATGAAGAAATTCCTAAAATGTATTTTTAAAACCACAACACTGTTGTAGATTTACATTTGGCCTTCAGATAAAGAAGTGCCTATTTTCTCATTCTTCTCTCAAATTTCTCCTGCATGAAACGATTTTATTCATGGGATTCTGTTCCCCCGCTGGGCTAAATGGTGACTGATAAGAGGGAAGAACTGCACTCTGGGATGCGTCAAGTTTTCCGCCGAGAAGTTCAGAAGAAGCTTGTCAGCTCAGACACAAATAATACAAATATATGTATAAAATTTATAGAATTATTTCATATTTAATACGGTGCCAGGTGATTGCTGTAGTCAGAAAGGCTTACCTTGTTGGACAAAGCTAAAATGTGGCTTTTTGTGAGCTGGATGAGGATTGTTTTATTTAGGTTATGTTTGTAGGATATGTTATATGTTTTAACAGGTGGTATTTGATTTGATTGAAGGATTTGATAATGATTGTTCCTACATTTCTCACGTTCTCTGTGTCTGGTTAAGTTTCCTGCTTTTCTGTTTTTTTGAGATCCTTATGTTTATTTTGTCATTTTCACATTACCCATTTTATATTTCTTCCAGCCTGAGTTACTTTTAGATTTGTCTTTGTGAGTTCTCATTCATCCTCTGTCAGACTCCTCTGTGTGTTTCCAGTTGGCCACGTCAACTCACACCTGATCCTTGTACGATCCTCAGTTTGTTAGTCCTGTCTTTATATTCCCCATAATTTGATTTGGTTCTGTTTTGTACACCTTAGGTGTCTTGGCTCTATGATAAAGTTAACTGTTCTGCAATTGGTTTGCTGCCATGTTAGTATTTAAGTTTTTGTTTTGGAAAATCTGAGTCCAAGGCCCGTATTTATCAAACGTCTTAGAGTGTAATTTTAGACTTATGTGCTGAAAATTTCTTAAATTTACTCCTCCACTCAGACTTAAGTGTAAATGCCAGTTTTCAGAATTCTTAAGTCTAAGAATCACTCTTACTCTCAGATATTTAAGACCATTCCAGAGGTCTCATCAGTGGTTAAGAGTTGTCACTAGGGGTCTGAGATGGACTGAGAAGACAGAGATCACACAGAACACAGTTGTTCTCTTTCCCACCTGAGTGTTATTCTCAGTTATAATGTACAGAGTAACTAAAATAAGGTGTGGGAAACAGGTTTAGTCAAGCAATACAAAATATAAAGAAAGAAAAGTAAAAAATAAACTATTACCAGTGCACATAAAGTTGGACTAAAAGGCACATATTTCTGTGCGGCTTTTGGAGAAAATATTAAACTATCAGCTGGTGAGTGCATGCAAACGAACGACCCCCCCACCTCCCCCCCAAGAAAAAAATAATAATAACACACACACATTACATTGGGATTAAACTTTTCTTTTTATTGCATTTTATTTCTTTAACTCAAACTTCACATAATCCTTAAATTCCTTTAAAACAATCTTTAGTATTTTCACATGATATAATGATGTTCACGGCAGGGGGTGGGGTGGGGGTCTCAGACCAAGGCGGATGACGATGGAGTGGTGGTGTGTGTGTGAAACAGGTGTTGTCTGCGGGTAGTTTAGTGGAGAGGAGAAAGAGGAGGAGGGTGCAAACTCAACATTTACTCAGGCTCTGAGACATAAAAAACTGTAAAGCTGAGTTTAAAAAAATCTGTGAGATTTTTTTTTGCATGTCTGTATCATGATGCAAATGAGGAAATCTAATGTAATTTATAGACAATCAGTACAACATGACATATATAAACATTAGTGTGTTGAAAGTCGTCCTGGAACCGGGAGGTTGCCGGTTTGATCCCCTGTCCAGCTGTCTCAGTTGCTGTGTCCTTGGGCAAGATACCTCACCCCAGTGCCTCTGATGTGTGTCCCATCAGTGTATGAATGTGATTGGCACTGATTAGTCTCCATAGATGATTGTACATGTTAGCTTTGTAGAGCCCTAATAGAGTGCTGTGTGAATGGGTGAATGAGGACACAGATTGTAGTGTGAAGAGCTTTGAGTGTCCTGGATGGATAGATATATCCATCCAGTATTATGTAAGTGCAGTCCATTTACTAAACAATTCAGTTTTGCAACATGTTTCTTAAAAAATCTGTTAAAAATCAATAAAAAGATTAGGAGCAAATTGGCAATACACTTTACCTTGGTCAATTTAACAGTGAATTTAAGGTTTGGACTTGTATTGAAAGTGTTCAAGGTTTAAAATGAAAATCCCAGGTTGCCCTTCTGAGGGTTTTTTTACTCAACATTTTCCAGCACAAAAACYGTGCTTTTGTTTAGCTGAATTTATGTTTTCCTTTTTTCTCTAAATATAAGTTGAGTTGAACACAGGACTCTAGACTAACTTTTTGCACTGGTGGCACCGGTGCACCTAACATTTTTTCTTAGGTGCACCAGCACAAAAGTTAGGTGCACCCAAATTTTCAACCATGTCGCATTTAACATCAGAGTTTTACAGGTTATTTTTTTAATCACTGTTCATTAAGGCAGCATTAACTCRAAAATAATTAGTTAACAATCTAGTAAACATCAAGTTCTTTATTTGAACCAGAATTGTACAAGATATAACTTACTGAAAAGTATTTAAAGTGATTCTATAAAATTCTAAGTGCAAATGTTTATAAACATCTTAAACATTTCATGGTTAAATTT